TTTTTTTTATATTGTTTATTATGTTTGTTCATTGGATGAATATATATATTTTCAAACACAACTTTTATTTGCAGCTCATTTATTTATGATAATTTCCTCATATGAATTAAGTTAATTATGATCTGAGCTCGGAGTTTGTGGTATTTACAATTATATTTTTTATATAATAATGGAAATGAACAAAATTTTATGGAAAATAAAGATTTTGGATCAAATGGCGTTATATGATTATGCAAACAACAGGAAATGCTCCAGAGCCATATCAAGTACTGACGTCTGAAATATCTACCACTTTATTTCATGCCTATATATCCTATGAAAAATATAAGTTGTAAAATATAAACATTTTAATTTGCATATTTTTCAATTTATAGAGCTTATTGTGGTGTTTTTAGGTGCATATTGAAACACTAAAAAAAATGTACTTTATTAGTGCTATAACTTACGAGTCCTGATTATAATGTATGTCGTCTTACAATTGTTAGAATAATTATGAATTACATAATATAATATAGGTAGTCAATTTATAATTTAATGATGGAAATTTCAACTATATAAAAACTTTTTAAGAAAAAAACTTAGAAAAATGAATAATATATTAAGAAATCTAAGCAAAATTCTAGAACTAACAAAATTATGCAGGTTTACTTAATATTGGTAGAATCAATAATGTCCTATAGTGTTATAGGTTTGGGTGGTGCATTTGATAATATTATGTCTCAATTAGAAATATGCAAAATYAAATAATTATAATATTACTCAATAAAGAACGAATATGCTCAAAAACACAATTATATAAAGAACTAAACGTGGTACCTGTTAAAAAAAATTTTACCTGAGAATTACTTGTGTATAYAGTATATTTATTTTAAAAACCCACAATTTATTACAACCAACATTGCAYCTAGTAAACATAAGATACGCAMAAAATAATTTTATCATTAATAGATAAAATAAAACCACGTCTGGTAGTTATTTGAAATAATTGGAACCAAACTACGCAACGATATACCATCCCATATAATAATAAACCTCCCTATTAATTTATTCAAACAATTATTTTTCAGTGGTTATCTGAATCTSAATTATTATTATTATTATAGAAATAACATTGTATTCATTTACCTCTAACAACGCAAAATAATTTAATTTTGATATAGGTATCCAACAAAAATGTTATTTTAAATTGTTTGTTTTTAATTTTTTTTTGATATTACCTATGTAATTTGTTTTAGAAGTTGGAACTCTTGAGCCCCCTCACAGTCACAGGTCACACGAGTGTTTTCAGTAATAATAGGTAGGTAGGTAATGCTAAATTAACTAATTGATTATTTTTATATTATCATATTTATTGTCTTAATACATATTTAAAAACCGTCAATTTATCTCTTAAAAGGACTTTGTTTGCGGGTACACTTAGTACTCATGGGTTGTTTCCAGCTAACTAACCCACAACATGGCACATTTTAACTTATTTTACGTTGTTGTTTTTAATAATTGAGTAGGTAGATTACCTTATTTGATCTGCAAAATTCGTATACAATTTAACAATTTGTTTATTAGGTACTATTAAAAATAGTATTATCCTATTATTGTGAGTGATCAGTGATCACCATGACCGTGGTTCAGAGCTCACTGAGCTCAGACCAACCATTTCTCCCGCAGTACCGTGATATGTATTTTTACCGAGGTAGATACAGCTATACAAGATACTTATTTTAGTAACATCCCAGTACATTTTATTTGCGAAGTTATTTATCATTTAAATATTTATATATTCTGTACATGCAAATTTTAATTTATGTTGATCAATAATCATCCATCCAAGGAACTGCTTAAAGTAAAAATTAAAATTATAAAATTACGTTCCTGAAACTTATCATGTCCAATCGAAATTGTATCAACGTTAAAATATGTTACAAAATCAAGGTAAGGGACTAATCATTTAGTTTTGGATAAATAAAACAGAAAAATAGCATTTTTTGTTAATAATTCATAATCTAATAATATTATTAAGTAAACTCAGCTATAGGAATAAGTAGGTACCTATAACCTATAGTTATCATTCATTAACATATTATAATTTATATATTGTTTTGCTTTTA